TCGCGGGTATTGTTATCGCATAAGGAAGGAGGTGCCAGTTATATTGGCCCATCTCCGATTTCGAGCTAACCTTCCAGATGTAAAGGGGGATGAAAAACCGACGGTCCCCTTCCTCTTTAATCCTACGGTGATCCAATTTTCAAATCGACGTCAGCCATTATCGGCATTGTGTATTCACATCCCGAATCTCTGTCGCGCGTGCTCTGTAATAAGATAAATGAACGAACGCGCTCTCTCTCTCTCTCTCTATGTATGGTGCTTCATCGATTAAATTGCATTCTACGGACGGCTTCGCTCGCGAAGATTCTATCGGCGTTGACTTCCGGTATCGCGCCGTCGTCTTCGCCGCCGTCTCAGATATCGTGATAATAAATCGGCCTCTCGAATGGAGGTCGTTAATCGTGAAATGTCGCCGGGTATCACCCCTCGAGTCGAGTCCAACAGGAGAGTCTCGGTCTCTCGGAACTTTATATACTTGCGCGCGCGCGCGGCGTCGCACGATTTGTCATAACTTCCGACCGTAAAGCCAAACGAACCGTGTCCCTTCACAATTTCCGTATCAGCTCGTGCTTCTTTCGCGACAGCGAGACCTCACGTGACAGCGTTAAAACGGCTTTCTCGTACGTTACGTAAGACGTGGAAATAAAACACGGAACGGCGACGAACCAAGGAAGAGGAACTGGGCCGGATCGAAATGCACGTTGCGGAATCGATCGGCCGTTACGATCCGTCTGACGAATGAAACGAACGAGCGGGTCGTGTTTCTCGCGAGGGGAGTAAGAATCCATCCACCCGAGAACCTGGACGAGAAGAACGAGAACCAAACGACATATATATAAGATCGCGCGCGATTCGCAGCACGATCATCAGGCGAAAGATTTATGTCGCGATTAAATTGATTTTTCAGTAATACCATTCATGCGGTAATTTGCCAAATTGAACGGTTTTTGAAATACGGTGTTGCGTCTCGCTAAAGTGACTCGACAACGTTTCATTTGCGACGCGTGCCGAAATTTTACCCGCGGTGTAGGTAGCTTTATTTACAAGGTGTCGGCGCGTTGCGGTGACAAGCGATGACACACGTGTCAGCTGATTAACCCGAATGCACTTCACTTATTTTTACGCTTTTTACGAGCGACATGCACGCGTCACTTTGCGTTATGTGTATCATGTTTTTCGCAGCTTTATTCGCGTAAGAAACTGTATCGCGGTGCATTTAAAATTATGATGTGGCGTTCAATAGCGGATATATTTCGTCATTATTTATACGTGTTTTCTTTCGTGCATGTATAACCATGGAAGGGGAGAGGAAAAAAAATATCGCACGCTAAGAGCATGTACTTACTATGTTTTCGGCAAAAAGTGCTGATCCGCCTCGAATCTGAAAAAGAAAAGCAACGAGTCATCTTCCCTGACGTCAATGTTCTTATTCTATCTACACAAGACGCGCGCACCCTGGAGCGAAGCGAATGGACGAGAGTGTACTCGTTTATACCTACCTATACATGACGAGAGAGAAAGATAAAAAAAGCAGAGTGTGCGTGGAAAAATTTGGAAAGAGGAGAGGAACGTTAGCGCGGATCATTTTTCACGGCGAGGCAGTCGAATGAAAGCGCGATTCCATCATCTTCTGGGCATGAAAAGCGTTTCGTGATCGTTTTAAAATAAGCTATTCTTCGGGGTTTACATATGAAACGCGTCTCCCTCTTCTCTCATCCCCTTTTCCTTCTCTTCTTCTTTATTTCACGGTCGGGCGCGCTTCGATTCCGCAAAGTACAGGTGTATTCGCGCGTTGTAATACGCGTGCACAAGTGCGGCTTTTTTTTACATTCTGCCTGCGTGTTCTCGTAAAACACGAGCTTTATTTTTTCCGATTTTTTTCTCGCCCGAAACGAGGACGGAAACTTGGCGTGTGTCGCATTAGAGAGGCCCTGCCCTGGCGATACGCACTAATAAATCATCGAATTCTTCCCGGTTTCAACGAAATAAATTCCGGCGTTCTCTCGCGATCCTAAAACTCTTACGGCTTACGTAAGGACCAACGGGACGTCGTTGGCTTTATAGCGCCGCGACGCGACTCACGGGCCATACTTGCCGCCCGGATAACGACGATGTCGTCGACGACACCGTCGTCGTCGACGAGCGCACGAGAGAGCCCTCGATCTTGTCCGTCTAGGTCATTGACATCCTGTTTTCCGTGCGATGGAATATTGAATTCTCTTCCGTGCTCTCTCTCTCTTTATTTTTCTGCGGAAAAATATAAATGTATATCATGAAAAATACACGGATGAGAGTCGAAATATCTAAATTTCCTGTATCATAAAATAGACCTCTGGCGGATGCAAATTTTCCTATATAGCGATCGGCGAACAACGACGGAGAGTAGAGAGCAGCATCGACTTTGTCTTCTCGGTTTTGAGTGCATCGCACACTCTATCGCGCGAACTTGACATGCATCGCAATAAAAGAGACGCGTATACATTCTTTTCTCTATACACGCCGAGAGAGAGAGAGAGGTATGCTTTAGCTTCTTCCTGTACTTGGACGGAATCGATCGCGGCGACGACCCGGTGGACGTCAACGAACCTGGGGAGCTCAATGTGTATTTCGAGTTTTCTTTTCTCGCGCTTACATAACAATATATACGATTCTCCTCGAAACGATGCGAAAATTCCAAGTTAATTAAAAATTCATCATTTATATTTAATAAAATGCGAGTCAAATTTTTTTAAACGTGTAGTAGCTGCTAATTTCTTATAAATAATCATCTAAGGGGACATGACTTTGTACTTTGCGGGAATTGAAACACGACTAGTTGCCTCGGCAGAAAACGATGTAGAGTCATGATAACACGAACGAGATGGTTGACGGGCCTCTGCCCGTCGTTCACAATAGCCCATGTCCTGGGAGTAGTTGCACACAGAAGATTATAACGACTTATCTTCTACCCCACTTTGGTCCCTTTCCTCTGCCTCTTCTTTATCTTGGTCTTTTATCCTCGCGTATTCTTCTCTTATTCTTCTTACAATCTTCGATTCTTCATTCCGCGCGATCTTCGATTACCGTCCCTGATCATACTCGATGTTTCTACGCTTTTTATCTCTCTCTTCTCGACCCTCCCGAGGATCGCTCCCGCGATCCTCCGATGCTCCTTTGATCATAGTTGATATAATAGAAGTGTGTCCGCCGGTCATCTACCCAAGATGTCAAAGTGAAATGTGACTCAGATTCGTCGTGGTGCCACGACGCCGGCGTACGGTAGGATTGGCTATTTCTTTCGTGTCCCGCGAGCCTTTCGTCGCTTCTCGGACGACATACACGTTGACATATTCGCCTTGTGAATATTGCAGGCTCTCTTCGAATGAAACTATCAGATATATGATATATCCACGTGTCATTTGCGATCAGTTTAGTCTCATGGTTTCGATAAACATTCTTTGTCATATCGATTTGACAGATCTTGCGATCGAATCACGTGTCACGTGCAAATTCGCTACTTCGATACTACATAATAATATAGCCTTATTCATACGGCGCTCAACTCCGAGCATCCTAGAATATGGGATCATCGTCGATTTCGCATCTCTGGGCTACGAGAACTCATAAAGACGGGTAGCGTCTTTACGACGGTGACCGCCTGATTTTCTTGCCCCACAATACTTACATAACAAATCGGAAGCGAAACGCGTGACTTCACGCTCGAGAAATCGAGTTCGCGTAACTTGCAAATGTACTCCGGTTACCGTGATCACGGGAGCACGTTCAAATTCCAAGAGAACGTGCCGGTTTTTCGATATCGAAAGGTGTAGCGAGAAATATCGAGTTTATGGAATATATCCGCCGGAATATTGCGAAGAGCATTAGAATTATTTAGTGTTGTTACTTCTTCACTTTTACTTCCGATACGATTGTTTACAATTATAATTGTTCGAGAAATCTCGCACTTATGGGTATTTTTATTCATGTTTTTCGATCAAAATTCATTGTGATTTAATAAAATTTCTTTTACTCTTTCAGAGACAGAATTAAAAAGGGTCATAATTGAGTTGTATATTCGCAACTAATGCATGGAATTTATTTTGAAAATTAAAGAAATTTACAACCGATATTATGTCACTTGACACGCATGTGTCACGGCTTCAAACATAAAATAAACTGAATCACCATATTTTTCATATATATGTCTTCTTTCCATTTTTTATGCTTTACTTTTTATATGCTCTCAATCAATCACTTTTCCAGTATATATTCAACCGTTAAATGTCAAGCTGTCAGTGCGCGGGATCTCATCAGCAATTCGAATTTCCTCGCTTTTTTTTAATACGATTGACAGTATCGCGGGGAAGCGGCAGCGATACTCTTGCGGAATAAATTCGTGTCCGATGGATTAAATTAGTCTGTAACTTTTCATCCTTTTTTTTTTCTACGTATATAAAATGATATTATTTCCTATCTAGATGAAGATCAGGGGTAGATAATCGCTCAAGTCGCTGCCACGATGAAAAATGCAGATTGCGTTCCACCGGGCAGGCAGGCAGGTATTCCGGCGTTACTTTATGTTTTTCTTTCGAGACTCCTCGTCCGGAGAGCAGCGTCCGAGCTCTCACTATTACCCGCGTATTACCCTCTTGCGAAAATTCCGCCGGTCGAGCAAGAGGGAAAACACTATCGACGGCTCCGCAATTTTCCGTGCCATAGAGCACGAGGCAAGCCGCCGCCTGCTTTAAGGGAAGGAGGGAGAAATGAGTAGGGAGAACAAGGGCGAGAGAGTAAGGGATGAAAAGAAAGAGAGAGAGAGAGCGACGCGGTATGCTTTCGCACCGCGATACCGTCACCCGTAATACGGTCCAAGGGATAGGACCGTCCTTCCTCTCGTTCTTCTCTCGTCCTTTCTTTTCGTCTCTTTGCCCACTCGGCTTGTTCGATCTCTCAGCTTCCGCCACGTCGTCTTTATCGTTGCGAGGATGGCGCAGAGGTGAAGAGATAAAACCTGGCGCCAACGAGATCTCTCTTGCCTTGTAGGTCGTAAGCAGTCGAAGAAGGGAGAAACAGCGTCTCTAAAAAGAGATAAAGTAGAAGGTCAGTGTACGTGATGAATCCGTGTCCGTGTTGAATCTCGAGTCGAAAAACTAGAGCGCCGAATCGTTCCGTGGAAAGGATACTAATTCCACTCCTTTGACGACGTGTATTAAATCCGTTTCGCTGTGAATTGTCGTAAAGGGAAAGAATCGCGACGCTTTAACAATTTAATTGCATGAACATGTATCTATTAATTAGATCGTGACGTTCGCTACGAACGAGCGAAATTTTGCGCGCGCGAGAGAGAGAGAAGAAAAGCAAGATTGTGTTTAATCGATCGGCAAAACTCTTCGGCGAGAAAGTCCCGTCATCTTCAGAAAACATAATGGAGCAAATGGATGCAATCGACGAGAGAAGAGGACGAAGCGGCAAAATGCGATGAATATCGCGCGACAAATGTTTCTGACGGTCGACGAAGTGCGACGAGACGGCAAATTCCTTCAACTCGCCGGCCGGCAAAAATCGCTCGACATAATGCGCCGGGAATCACGGGACCGAATGCCACATCACTTGCGAGCGGTGACAATAACGCTTCGTTCGATATTTCTGGCTCGTAAATTCTGTTAAATGCCACCGAGGGCGGGACGGAGGGTGACTCTGACACAAAGGCGCCAAAACCTCGTTGAACACTCCAAGGTTCTTACGATAGGTACCGGCTTATGTGTCCCGCACGTTGGAATTATTCTCTTGAGATTCTCGCTCGCAATACACGTATATACACATACACACACACACACACACGTACGTACACATATTCACCGATACGGATCCCCGTCGAGCTATTATCCGCATTGTCCGAGCATTTGGCTTGGCCAGGCAAAAATATTGTCGCCGTTAATTTCACGCGCGCGAGAGTCCGCCGTTTCGTTCTTTTCTCCGATTCTCTCTCGCTGAGCGTTTTGATACAAATCAATGCTTCCTGCAATGGTATCCTCTCGAATGTACGAATACATGAAAAAAAAAAAATATATATATAACTCTTTAACACTTGACAGTTATAATGGTATCTCGATTATATTTTAAAAATGTTATGCTTTATGTAATTTTTTTTTTTCATATTTTATATTTATTTTTTTGATTTACATTTTTTTTGTAACAATAATTCAATTTTTATTATCGTATTTCAATATCGTGGAAAATGATAATGCATAAAATTAATAATAATATAGAAAATGGAACCGAGAGAAAACACATATGGACACATCTCTTAAATTGCATAAAAAATATTAAATTGAATATATCGTGATGGGTTGAAATTTCATGCTGATATATAAACATATAGCTGTTTACAATTACAGCTTTAATGACATTCGAAGTCCTTTATGTAGAGTCAGCGAGGCTTTAGAATCTGATCTGTACGGTGTTGATTGACAAAGAGAGACAACAACGTAGAAAGAGAAAGAAGGCCTCTCTTAATAGGCGTCGCAGAGTGCGATTCGAATTTCGAGTGTGCCAATTGTGCAGGCGTGTGACAGAGAAGGCAACTCGCGCCCGAATTAATCGCATTTACACACCCGGTCCTGCACGTGTTGACGATTGTCAAGAACGTCGCCTGGAGAGTCGTTTAAACCCAGCTGCGGTATATATCCGCAGCGCGAATTGCAAACGTTTTCACACGCGCCATCGGTGCGAACGAATAAATCGAACGAATTCATGCCGCGCCAGATTCGACACGTGCGTACATGCACGTCGCATTAATTATATTTATATATAAATATATATATGTGTGTGTGTGTGTGTATGTAATATATATATATCCTGCGAGCGTAATTATTTTATCGCGCCATTTACACTGCAGAGACAGTAATAACTCGACGCGCTTGCGTCGGGTCATCGTGCTAGAAAGAAGAAATATATGTTACAGGCTCGTACTTATTTCACTCGCTTGTCAACGAAACGCTCTGTTAACGTCACGGCGTGACGAGAGCCGTTAACGAGAATCCATCGGCGATAATTAATTTCTCTCTCGACTGTTGAGCGTCCCCTCCCTTGAAAGAGGGAAAGAAAGATCGTCGTCGCTCTCTACCGAGCGTCGTAATCAAAAAAAAAAAAAAAAAGGAGAGCGCGGAATAAAGAGGCTGTTTGTTTGTACAAGAGGAACACCGGGTGGTAAAGTATCTATACGGGTTTCCCTCTCTCGGTGGGGCTTTAAGAGGCGACCCGTAATGTCGGTGGTTAACGTCGACAGGGTGGCAAGAGCGATACTATTGTCCATGGTCCCACGGGGGTGACCAGACCGGACCGTCGCCGACAGTTGGCGAGCCGCTCTCTGTGTCCGAAATTACGCCGTCCGTGTCGAGTCGTGTCCCCCTTTGGCGAACAACGTTCGGAACAACACACCCGATGTCTTTCGACGTGCACGTAAAAAGATGACAAACCGTATGTCGACTATATCGATTATCGGGAGTCGCAACATATATATATATATGTATATCGTCGATTATCGAATCGCGGAGACGATTGCCGCCGGAAATGACAGCGTGAACGATGCGCGCCTGTCGAGAGGTCATCAATTTTCTACGGTGGCAGATAACGAATAATAACCGCGAATATAAACGGGGCGTACAATTGGAAACAATTATGAATATCGAAGGGAATTATTATGAAATGATAATCGCGGCGCGCGATATCTCTTCGTGATTTCCGTTTCGTTCTCGAAACAATTCACATCGCGGAGAGACCGAATGTACATACATATTGAAATGTATTTTCTACAATGGAATATTTACATCTCTGAAAAATTGATGTAACAATTAACGCGAACACGTTGCTCTGAATGGGGAGGAGGATATAAATTCGCCGCATCTCTCTCCAATTTTGTAAATGCTTGATTCTATAAACATTCGCGTTTGCGAAAATGTTTGGCAACGCGCCAACCCAAGGCGCCGTGGATTATATCGGTATCAACGCCTACGACGCGATATCAACGCAAAGTGACATTGTTAAGAATCGATTCGCGCGCGCGTTCTCATTGTGGGCGTCACAAGCGCGCGGGCACCGTCGCACGAATAGCTCGAAATCAAAAGCTCCTCTCTGTGAACGGGGCACGCCCGCCATGTCTGCGACGGTGTTAACAAGCTTCTGCAAAGCCGGGGGTTCATACAGCCTGCATACAGACAGGAGCGAATATATCGCGCGCAACGTGCGTAACGAGTTTGACGCTCCGCCCTCTCTTGCACCAAACTCAGCTCGTTAAACCGATAGCAGCCGGGAAAGTTAATTTGCGCATTACTAAGGTGGGTGGAAGGGGGGCGGGAAGGGAGATATTGCGGAATTAATGACGCTATTATCTAAGGATGCGGTGGTACCTGAATAACGCTATCCGTTTCGCGGCGTTTCCAATCGCTCAAAAGCATTCTCACCTTACATACCCTAGTTAAATGAAGAGATTCGATGCAGTTATTTCGGGATATAGATGAACGGATCGGGGCATGAATTTATACAGTGCGAAACATGTTTGTATCATCCGCAGCTAAGCTACTTTTGTTTACATGTGCGTTCCGTATTTCTTTACAGTTTATAATTGCGATTTAAATTTAGGTAAAATGTTCACTTCTCTTTATAACGGCAAAAGAGAAAATCATTTATACTTTTTCTCGTTATATTTTGAGTCTAGAAAATAATTTTACATTCAAATAACCGGATCAATGTCTTTTTTCGAAAAAAGTTTAATTCATCTATGCTATAGAAATGGAAGAAAAGTTTAAGTAATTTTAATAAATTAGTTCAATGAATTTCAATGAATGATGTTAAATTAATTTTAATAATATGAAGAATCAGATGAATAAACTAGATTTTAAAAGAGATAGACATTTTTTCTTCACTCATTTTTTTTTCAATTAAATTATAGCAGATTATTCATTTTTGTAGAAAAATAATACCAATAAAATATCAACGGCAGAATATATGTAAATGTCTGTAGAGAGTTTTAGACAAACAATTTAATAGTATTATTCGAGTTATTAACCACAATGAAATTATATAAATGAGAGATGTTTTAGCTTCACGTTTGTTGATTCCCCTTTGTTAATGAATAAAATAACAAACAATAATAATTTTTTTAAATAGAAATTTATTATTTTTATATTTAAAAATAATTGTTTATAATTTTAATATTTTTTTTTTAAATTATTTTAAATCCAATTCTTAAAATGTGGTAAATTTTTTTTCACAGATTTTTTATCTCGTGCGGTTTAATTAAACCGCATACTAAGCAGAGATACCATTCTATTTTTTACTTTCTAAAACGTATATTGTTAAAAAAGATTTACATCGGTATGCGAATAAAAAATATATTGGATTTATGTGTTAAGGATAGATATTTTGATATTTGAAAAATATACTCAATTTCTCAATTTCTATAATTTAAAAAAGTATCCTTTGTTTAAATATATAATTTCTAGCCGAGTTCGCGATTCGATTTAAGTCTCGCAAATATAATTATACTAAATCATCATTGTATATATACGTGTACGTTACATGGAAATTAAATTTTTTAAAACAAAGACCGAAAGGATAAAGTAATACGATATACATTCTTAATCTACTTATCTCTTCAATTAGCAGAACAAGGAGAAATCTTTCAGGAAGAACATAAATTTAATTATTTCATTAACCGTTCTTCAACTTGCCGCTGAGAATTATCGTTCATGGCATTAAAGTTACGACGAGCCAGCCAAGTCCGTTACGCCCGTGACATCTTCATCATTTCGTTAGATGTTAATAAACGTCGGCTTGTGGCCCTTTCCGGGATTGCGCGGGATTAAAATTGAAATGAGAAACAGCAATGGTTGCTTTAGCCGACCCCGGGAGTGTAGATGAGGCGAGCCGGAGCGATTCGGGCTGAATAATTAAAGCGTTAGTAACGCGACCGAGTTTGGCGAGCCAATTTTGCGAAGGTCCGCCTCTCGTCGACCGTTACAATGGCTCCGAGACCCTTTGATGTGTCTCTAGGTCCTGGTTCACCCACTTCTTCCTC